TTGATTTGTGAGGGCCAAGTGTACAGTTACGATGCCGTATACTAATATTAGCGTAGTGGGATTTTGGTAGCCGTCGGATTAGTTTCAATCCGGACCACTCGCTCCTGTATATAAGCTAGGGTTTTTGGGCTAATGGATATGCACATTTCTGTATTCCCTTTCCATATTCTAAGCACTCACATTGGTGGAGATGAGGGGCACCTTTGATTGTCTCTGATGAGTGCTTGGATTTGGGATTTTGGTTTAGATCTAGCTTTTGCATTGTCTAGATCTAGCTTTTTCCATTTCCTTCTTTTTGTTCTTTCCTTTCAGGATTTTGGTTTAGATCTAACTTTTTGCATTGTCTAGATCTACCATTTCCTTCTAGCTTTTTGTCATTTCTCTTCTTTTGCTTTTTCTTTTTCATTCGTTTCCATGGCAGATTAGCAATCTCCTCCTTTGACTCTCGAGCAGCAGTTGGTCCAATTGCTTGATGCTATGCGCTTGCAATTGAACAACCAAACTCAATTGATGGCGGCATTCACGGCACGTGGTCCAACTCCTCCTGCTCTTGGTGCCAATCCTCGCGTTCGGCCAGAGTTCTTTCATGGGAATCCCGGGGATGATGTGTACCATTGGTTCGATCACTTCACGGTGATTGCCACATATCATTCTTGGGATGATGCTTGACGTTTACGTGAGTTTCCCACGTGTCTCCAAGGGACGGCGTTGTAGTGGTACAATGGATTGAGTGCGGCCACTCGTGAGGATTGGAGTGTTCTTCCGGACGTCTTCAAACGCGCCTTCGGACATGCCGACGATTGTGACGATGCCTTCCAACAATTGCATCGTCTTCGCCAAGGGCCATTTGAGTCGGTGATGCAATTTGGCGTTCGTTTCCGAAGTCTTTTGCTTCGTGCGGAGCCCAATATGTCGGAGCGGATCAAGCTAGGAATGTTGTGGCTAGCACTTCGTCAAGATCTTGTCGGCCTTGTGCATGCATTTGCTCCTGCCACCCTTGACGATGCTCTTCGTTTGGCACAACGTTATGAGACGTCACCTCTTCCACTTCTCGCTGCACGTCCTTCCACTCCACTTTCTATGAGTGATGGTCCTGTTCCCATGGAAGTTGATGCTGCTGCTACTCGAGTCCAAGGACAAGGACGAGGACGTGGTCGTGGCCATGATGTTCGTTGCTGGGCGTGTGATGAAGTTGGTCATACTTATCGGCGTTGTCGGCGCTTTCTGGATTGGCGACCTCCATTTCCTGGGTGGAAACCTTGGCGTCCACAACGTCCCGTTGGTGCTGCTGCAGTGGAAGGTTTGGACACCGAGATGAATCTGGGAAACGAGGAGTCATGCGAGTAATGGAGGGACCTTGCGTGAATAAGTCAGTGACCCCTCCATCTTTCTTTCGGGAGTATCATCAAGGGGTTCACTCGGCACCAGTTCATCCAGTGTTTACTTTCCAAGCTCATCTTTATAACAAGAGGTCTCCTATTATTCTCTCCGTGTTGGTTGATACAGGTTCGAGTTTATCTTCTATTGCTCGACCTGTTGCCACATGTTGTCGTCTACACTTGCGTCGTACGGTGGAACCAATTTTCATTTTTTATGGCAACGGCCGTACACATGCATGTGCACGGGATGAGGCAGACCTGGTTGTGCGTGTGGGCGATCTCGAGCTTGAGTTGCAGTCGTTGCGGGTGGTGCCGAGTCAAGCTTTTGACCTCATTCTTGGTATGGATTAGTTGCAGCACAATCATACCAAGTGTGACTTTGAGGCTTCTCCCCCTTGTCTCATACTTCCTTATGTTTCCTCCATTCCTCTCACATCCGTACCTCTTCGTCCCTCTACTTCTACCTCTGCTTCCATTACTTTTGTTCCCCCACTATTTCCTCCTGTGTTTCCATCTTGTTCTACTCTTCCCTTTTCCGATCCCTCCGACGATCTTTGTGTTGCAATAGTTGACCGGCTTATGAAGGAGTATTCTAATCTCTTTGACTTTGACCTATCGTCTGGAGCCAAGATTGCTACACGTCATCCGATTCCAACTAGGGATGCTCGTCCAATCAAGGTTCCTGTTCGTCGTCGGTCACCAAAGGAGATCAAGATTTTACGTGCAAATGTCCAGGAGATGTTGGAGAAGGGTGTTATTCGGAAGTCGCGAAGTCCTTGGGCATGTGAACCTCATCTTGTGACGAAGCCTGATGGGAGTATTCGTTTCTGCACCGACTATCGTCCGTTAAACGACGTAACGATCCCGATGTGTACCCTCTTCCTCACACTGCTGATCTCTTGGATCGTCTGGGGTGAAGTCGTTGGTTCACCAAGCTAGATCTTGCTTCTGGGTACTGGCAAGTACCGATGGCCGAAGAAGATATTTCTAAGACTGCTTTTCGTACACCATTTGGTTTGTATGAGTTCTTAGTGATGCCATTTGGTTTGAACAATGCTCCAGCAACTTTTCAACGGATGATGGACGAGGTTCTTTGCGATATGCCAGAGGTGACTGTTGACTTCATTGATGATGTCTTGATCCACTCGGAGGGGATGTGGGAGGAGCACGTTCGTGATGTTTGTAAAGTGTTGGATCGGTTACGCGACGTTGGTTTAAAGCTGAAGCGGTCGAAATGCATGTTTGGATCCAAGGACACAACTTATCTTGGGTACCATATTTCTCGTGAGGGTTTGCAAGTTGATCCTGACAAACTTGTGGCTGTTCTAAAGTTCCCTACTCTAAAGTGTGTGAATGATGTGCAGTGCTTCTTGGGCAAGGTGCAGTATCTCGGGCGTTTTGTGGATCATCTTTCTGATCGCACTGCACCATTGCGAGTGTTGCTGAAGTCATCAACATCATCTTTCATCTGGTCTCCGGATTATGAGCGGGCGTTTGGGGATCTCAAAAAGTTATTGACAACTCCTCTGGTTTTGGCATATCCTGACTACACTTGACCTTTTATTTTGCGCGTGGATGCTTCTGACATTGGTCTTGGAGGTGTGTTAATGCAAGAGAGCTCGAGTGTGCCTGGTCAGTGCCATCCCATTGCATATATAAGTCGTACATTACAACCAGCAGAGATGAACTACTCCACGACAGAGAAGGAGTGTTTAGTAGCAGTTTGGGGTTTCGAGAAACTTCATGCATATCTACATGGTTCTCGGACGTTACTTGAAGGTGACCATGCTACTGTTACTTCGTTATTAAAGCGAAAGAACCTAGTTGGTCGTACTGCTCGGTGGGCTTTGAAGCTTCAGATATATGATTTTGATGTTGTTCACCGCCCAGGGAGTTTTATGGCTGATGCTGATGCCCTTTCTTGAGCTCCTTTTCCTTCTTCATTCTCTTCTCATGTTTCTGATGAGCCTGTCGTTCCAGCATCTGTGGATTTTCTAGACGAGGGTTCTGTGCCGTCGGCGGTTGCTATACTTGACGTTCAGTGTCCACAAGGTGCAGAGAAAGATCTACCTTCGCTTGATGAGGTTCGCGAGGCTCAAAAGATTGAGCCATGGATTCGAAGGCTTCGAGATGGGTTTGAGAATCTTGCATCACTTGCTGATGACTTGCCTTTCCGGCATTTACATTCTCAATATCGTCTTGAAGATGGCCTTCTTTATTTTGTGGGGACAGATCCTGATGATCAATTACGACTGGTGGTGCCTTCTATATTTATTCCGCGGTTTCTCCATGCCTACCATGATTCTCCTGTTCTAGGTGGGCATATGGGACATCGTCGTGTAATCGAGAAGCTACGCAGGTCTTTCTATTGGCCGGAGATGCGACGTGATATTATCCGGTATGTGCGTAGCTGCGTTTGGTGCCAAGCTCGTAATACTCCCCCTCGGACTGCGGAAGGACGGTTGGAGTCAATTGCAGTTTCCCATCCGTTTGAATTGGTGGCATTTGATCTTATGGGACCTTTTCCACGGTCAACTGCTGGCAATGAGTATGTTATTATTGCTTCTGACTATTTGACTCGTTGGGTGGAAGTTGGTGCTCTTGCTAGTGCCTCTGCAACTGTTGTTGGATACTTCCTCCTCAATCGAGTGGTGTTCCAGCATTCTTGTCCAGAGCGGATTCTTTCGGATAATGGTCCCGCTTTTATGGCTGAGGCGTTTCATGTTTTGACGTCTCGGTTGGGGATTTGCCACACTTTCACGAGTGCTTATCATCCACAATCAGACGGTCTGGTGGAACGGCTCGTTCGGACGTTCAAGGGGATGATTGCGAAGTATGTGAACTTTCAGCATTCGGATTGGGATGGTTATTTGCCGTCTCTTCAGTATGCATATGTCACTGGGGTGTAGAGTTCTGTTGGTGCTTCACCATATAAACTCCTATATGGTCATGATCCAATATTATCAATGGAGCTAGGTTTACCTTTGCGATTGCCACGAGCTGCGGATGCTAAGTCATGGGATCAATATTTGACAAGCATTCTTCCACTTATCCGAGCGGAGTCTGCCAAATACTTAGGCTGCATACAAGTGGGACAACAACGATGCTACAACTCTCATCATTGTCCACCTATGGAGTACAAAGTGGATGATTTGGTGTTAGTCCGTTTTCCCCATCTTACGGTACGTGGTTTATCTAAGGGGCTCCTTGCATAGTGGAAAGGACCGTATCGGGTGTTGCGGCAAGTTGGACCACAAGTTTATGAGGTTCGGCATGACGTCCAGCAGGCCGATCCTTTAGAGATTGTGCATGTGCAGCAGTTGAAATGCTTCATACAAAGGGATCAAGAGCAGTTAATACCATCTACAGATCCGCCGATGCCTCCTCCTGATGTTCCTCCAGATCCCGGCCCGTCTACAAGAGAACCTTGATGGTCTTCCATTATCCTGAGAGGGGGGGATGATGTGAGGGCCAAGTGTACGGTTACGATGCCGTATAATAATATTAGCGTAATGGGATTTTGGTAGCTGTCGGATTAGTTTCAATCCGGACCACTCGCTCCTATATATAAACTAGGGTTTTTGGGCTAATGGATATGCACATTTTTGTATTCCCTTTCCATATTCCAAGCACTCACAAATTATATTTTCAAGTAGCTAACCATTACAACAAAACACCCAATAAACAAAAAGAATCCCAACAAAAAGTAACCCATAGTGAAAACTTCTAAATTTCCTAATCTTTTATCTTTCTTTCTCTCACTTATGAGTTACCTCTTGTTGAGATCTTTGCCACCCCTGTTGCAATGGTCAACCACCTGAAAATACAAACAAATAAGAAAAAAAAATTAACTATCACAAAATATTACTTATTTCTTAACTTCATCCCACTACTCAGGAATATTTACTACAACAAGTGCAACCTCGAGAAAAAAAGAAAGATCAAAAGTACTGCAAACTATCATAGCATCAGAACAAATTACCTCCTGCTCAAACTCTTGCTGCTGAGATATCTTGCGGTGATGGGCTGCCACCTAGGAAACGCAAGCAAGTAAAAAAAGGATGATATAAGCTATGGGCTTTCACAACGCAATACCTCTTCCTGCAACTCATTACATGTCTTGCCGGACTCACTCCTGTCGTCGGGCGCTTTGAATTTCTTTCTATAGCAAGCATCCATTTCCCTGACGTTTTGCAACAATGGAAAACGACATGAGAAAGGTAAGCACAGAAAAAGAGGAGGAAAGCTATAAGCTTTCAGAATACCTCTTTCTCCAACTCGTAAGATGTCTTGCCGGACTCACTCCTGTCATCACCTGCTTTGGATTTCTTCCAATGACAAGCTTCCATTTCCCTTCTCATCTGCAACTCGCCCGCCTGAGAAAGGCAAAAAAAAAAAAAAAAAAAAAAAACAAACAATGAAGAAAGCTATGAGCTTTCACCACGGAATACCTCTTTCTCCAACTCGTTGCCGCAATAGACCTTGCATTCACTCTTGCTGTCGTGAGCATTCCTATGGCAAGCATCCTCCCTTCTCTTTGTCTTCGACTCGTCGGAAGCCTTGCCACAATGAGAAACCCCATGAGAAAGGCATGCATGGAAATGAAGGAAGCTGTGAGCTTCACCACGCGATACCTCTTTCTCCAACTCGTCGGATGTCTTGCCGCAATGGAGCTTGGACTCACTGCTGCCATCGCACACCTTGGATTTCTTCCCAAAGCGAGCGTCCATTTCCCACTTGCTGCCTCTACGTCAAAGAAAACACAAACCCTTTAAGTTTATAAATATAAGGTATGGTAACCGTTTATATGAGTTTCACCATGAAAGAGGCCCACCTTGTTCTTTTCATCCTGGCCAAACCATGAAAACACATGTTCTCGTACCTTCAAGTACAGTAGAGCAATTTTCACGCATTTTGTTACCCGGCACTGAAAGCGAACCAAAGAATAAGAAAAGAAGCACAATATCAAATACAAACCGGAAATGCCGTTAAGCATTTGTGCTGATTTCATCTATCCTTCACAGAGCTCCGCCAGCCTTTCTCGAATGAGGCTCACCTAGATAAAACACAGAAAATCTTTATACATGGAAGAAAGAAAAACTCCAACCTGTTCTTCGAAGGAACAACACGGTTGAATCTGCGTTAGCGCGTCCGGCGCTATTTGCTTGTGCGTCTCCTCTCTTCTAGCTTCCAAAAACCATGCGAGATCCTTGTCCGAGACCACTGCAGAAGCATATACGAGCTCGATATCTTCCTGAATTTCCACACAAACTCACTGTGATTAACGAAGGCCTTCCGCATGGTCTGCGCTGGGGGGGGGGGGGGGGGGAGAGAGAGAGAGACCACGTCACATACCGCACTAGAACCATGCATGGAGCGATCCATTTCATCGAGCATATAGACATTCGCACAGGAGAATAATTGAGACCTGTCACAAAAGAGCAAAAGTTCTGGCCCGAATACATAAGTTTGACAGGGCTCACAGCTTTGGTTGATCATAATCACACCATCGTCGGCCACATGTTCACAAAGTACTGAGATCACAGTTCCTTAGTCTCCTTTCAAAAGTGAATCGCTACATCTTAAGTCCAGGAAACAGAAAAGAAATACAACTATTACCTTTGCCGATCGGGGAAGATCGGAGGACGTGTCGAGCCATGATGCACCTTAGAGAGTCTCTGTGAGTGTTTCCGACGGTATCCCTTTGTTCATCATGCTGTCGAGAACGATCTGCAATAACAGTTTCTCAAGTGGTCAATGGATCCTCGCATACGATCTTCCGAGATCACCTCCTGAAAACGATTTGCATTCATCAGGATTTTGTCAAACTCCGATTTGCAGGTTGGATCTAACAGAACAAGAAACTTACCAAGAGCTTCACAAGTAGCCAAGTTGTATTCGCTCCTTAAGGCGTACAGTCGTGCTGAGAGAAACAAAACCTAAATGAACAGATGCCTGAAGCTTTTATTCATCGCACCTGAATGGCAGAAAGTCATGGAGATGCTCTCCCGGGGTCCATGGTCGACCAGGCCGGTGCGACGCTTGATACCGTCGGGTGCCAGCACGCCGCGACCATCTCGAGGAAGGGTCGCTTGTCCGCCTTCCACGAGACCAGATTCCTCCATCTTGTCCAAAGCTCTAGAGGTTGCTACTCCTGGATCTAGAAAGGCATTCCATCAGACTCAAGAAAGAAGGGAGGGATTCACTCACCTCACAGGGGCCTTGCAAGCCGAGAAGAACGCCATGGATCCTTGAAAGGCACTGTTGCGCAAATCGATCGGTCGGCGGCTGTAGAAAGCCTCGATTTTTGAAACCGGGCGGCCGGTTGCTCCACCGACAGCAGCCGGTTGCCATGGGATATTCCGCGTTACTTGAGAGTAGTAGATAATTTTTTCAATTTGAAAAGATGTAATTGTAGTTGTAATTGTTTAATGTATTTCCTTTTCTTGCTTTTTTTTAACGTGTTTATTTTATAGGTTGCTATTAAGGCTTACAGCTTTGATTCCAATGTGTCCATTCTATAGCTTTACCAAGTTTGCAAGTTATTCACACTTTTCATTTGTGTTGTTTTTTTCTTGCACTAATTAGTTTTTCTCATGACAAGTTTGAGCCACAAATCACATACATCATGCAGCAATGGGAATAACAATAGTTTTGTGACCCTTTTGTGGAAATCCACATTCACAATTAAGTTCTTAAGCACATTTCTCAAAAATAGAGCTATACCTTGGCTTCACAGAAATTGCTTAATGAAAAAAGCAGCATTACCAAAAAGCTTTATAAATAACTGAAGGAATAGAGTGACCATGACAAGGAAAAAAAAAGGATACATACCTTAAGTGGTTATTAGGGAGAGAGTAATAGGAGTGGTAGAAGACTAGACTAGTGTTGTGTAGCATTTAAAAGGTTACAAAACATAAATGAGGCACCAGACACCAAGAAAAAGAAAATAAAACAAAACAATCATCAAAAGATAAGCCAGAAACTTGCTTAAAACTCTCAGCCAGCATGAATAATAAAGTTCCTTACCTTGTTATTACTACTAGTTGCTATTGCAACTTACAACTTTGATTCTAATCTGTGCCTTCTATGGCTTTTGGTTTTTCTCATGACCAGCTTGAGCAACAAAATCACAAACATCATGCAGCAATGGAAGTAGCAACAAGGTGGTGACCCTTGTGGAAATCAACCTACTGTAAAAAGAGCACAGAATTTCAAGATTCCTAGCCTCATCCTTCTTTTACTAGATTCTACTTTTGCCCCACTAGGATTTTGGCGATGTGGCTTTGTGGAGTGATCCTTGTGATGGTGGTGATGCTATTGAACATGAAAAAACTAGTTTTGGGTCAATAGCAATTAGCTGGTTCCATTCTTCTAGAAATGGGATTCACCCAACTAGCAGAGAGTCTCTCAATGTCTAGAATGTATAAGCCATGTGTAGAGAGCGAAGAACATAGTCATCATGTCTTTATTGTATGGCATCCAAGAGCATTGTGCTATGGAACTTACAGTTGGGTAAGAGATATCAAATAAGGAGAACTTTAACTCAAGAAACTTTGCCATGCTCAGTAGGGGATGAGTAATTCACACAGTAGACTTGGATACATAACTCCATGCAATGTTGACAACATCAAATGAGAAAGAGGGAGCATGACAAGGAAATTGATGCAAGCATAACAAGGAAAAGAAAGACTACACATAGGCCATCTAGGAGAGAGTAACAAGAGTGGTAGGAGATCAGATTGGTGGTGTGTAGCATTCAAAAGGCTGAAAAACAGAGGTGAGGTATCAGACACCAAGAAAAAGAAAACAAAATGAAAGAATGATCGAAATCAACAAATATGAGCAAGGTAAGAAAATCATAAATTCAGTGCAAATGATGTTACCTGCTGAAAAATCTGCAAATGGTGTTCCTTTTTCCTTATTCCTAGTGACTTCACATTGGGAGCTAAGAAGTATTCCAAGCCATAGTGCTTCTGACCTCATGGAATAAAAAACGTTCTAGTTTCTATCGAGCCCTAGCATAGAGCTCCAAAGAACATCATCAAAAAAACTTAGCAAGGTATGAATCAAAAGATTCTATCCAGTTTATCTCCATCTGAAAATCCCTGTTAAAAGCACTTTTGACATGGCTTAAATGTTTTGGAGACAATGATGTGCACAATGCCCTCCTATCTAGAGGAGCTAAGACAAGATTTTACACAAAGTGCTCAAGCTATCTTACTTTTGTCTACCCTCCCAAGGTTTAAAACTCTACTCTTTACCAGGAAGTTTTTCTGAGCCCCTCACCCAAGCTGTGATCCTCCATATACAGCCTAATCAGCAATTTCAGTGTCTAAGCATTTCAAAGATAAGAGCAACTTATAAAATGGCAACTATGCAAAAGTATGGACGTTTTCTCATGAGTATGGACTTTTGGCTCCACCTAGCAGGCATCTTACTTAGTGTAGCAATTTTATCTGCAAGTTGTATCTTTTTCCTTAGAGTATACATCCACATTTGTGAGTACAAGCAATTCAATTTGAAGGAAAAACATGGTCAACTACTCATGACATCATGAGAGAACCCTAATGTATCATCTATTGTTATTTAATACAAGAAGTTTAAATTTGAATAGTATTGGGTTGAATAGTTTCCTACAAAGTCCATATTAAAAAGCTTTCGTCCAAAAAAAGTCTAAATTTAGGAACTTATAATATCATTATATTTTAGATTTCTTAATTCTTTCTCTCTCTCTCTCTCTCTCTATATATATATACACACATGTATATATGTTTTAATTAGAAGAATAACTAAAATTTTCTAATAAGTGCTGTCACATGTTGAAATTATTGATTTATTTACCTTATAGAGTAGTTGCATTCTACATCTAAAAATGTACAAACTATAGTTATCACAAATCTACATAAGTATTATGTTAGGGGTGGATCAGGTCATATTGCATCCATGTAGACAGGTTTTATAGTTCTTAATTGGGAATAAATGGACTATAAATAATTTTATATAATGCCTCAAATTGAGATATAGGAATTCTCTTGTTTATGGACACATAGAATTACCACAATTGTCTTGTGGATTGTTAAAACATTGATGTAAACCAAGGTCAAGTACATCACAACAATAAAAAGCCATATCATCAGCCTGACCTGTAGACCTTTATAAAGAAACTATCTTGCTCTGCTGTTGCTAAAGCTAAAGCAAATAAAATTGAAGTTTAAAGTTGATTAATCTATAATTTATTTATCAGGCGAATCTAAGATATGACAAGGAATATTCTAAAATCGATAGAAAGCGTATAATTTGAAAACGTTTATATAAACCCTAGTCTCTGGCTTGATCCTGTCTCAGGGCATGGCGTCCTCTCCCGCATTTGGCTGTGCGGATCGATTCGTGGTGGCGCCGCCTCTCGCGCCTTCGTCAACGGCCCATTTCGGTGAGTGCATGGGTTGGAAAAAATGGGCATGAAAATTCGGGGCTGGATTCTCAGGTTCCAGGCTGCCCTGTTTGAGACAGAGGGAATTTTGCTTGAGTGGTGGTGGTCGGCGGCAGTGGGGGGAAGTTTTCACTGCCCAGGGTTTTTTCGGGAAGAAGGAGAACACGGAGAGCAATTCCGAGGATGGAAGCAAGAAGGTATGTCTAGAAGAAGAATTTGCGTTGTGGTGATTGTATTCTTTTAGGGAGGAGGAGGGATTTTTGGAAATATGCAAGAGCTCTACCAAACTGTTCGAAAAGCCCAGCAAGTCGTGCAAGTGGAGGCCGTGAAGGTGCAGAAGGAACTAGCTGCGTAAGGCGATATGTTTTTCCTCCATTGCTTTCGTTGTTACTGAGGCAAACGTTTGCAGCACCGAGTTTGATGGATACTGCGAGGGCGAACTTGTGAAGGTGAGAAAGCTTCCAACTTCTTTTGATTTGGATTTATTTCCAATTAACTTGTGCAAGCAAAGCAGGCTGTTCTTTCCGGAAACCAAGAACCTTTGAGAGTTGAGATCACCGAGGCGGCGATGGAGCTCGGGGCGGAGGTAAGAAACCATCTCCTTAAAGCTGAGATTACTTATCAAAATCTCTCGCAGAAACTGTCGCTACTGGTGAATGACGCGTACAAGGATGCACACCAGAAAAGTGTCATGGTAAGCAAATGCCTGGTAGAAGAAACGGAAACGAGTGACACTGATCTCGAAACTTGTCCAGGCTATGAAGGAACGCATGAAGAACTTAGCGGAGAGCTTGGGGATGCCTCCCGGCTTGACACCCAGCTGAAACGCACAAACGTGGATATAGCCTGGTTCCACAGTTTTGTACTCGCGGTAAAGCAGTAAGCTGCTATTTTTCTGCGCTCGCCCTTCAATCACAAACTCGTCTGGAACTTCCTGATCTCCCGCATTGACCCATCAACGTTGAGGCTAAATCACACGACTGGCCTCGTCACAGGTACGCCAAAGTCTCCGAAATTTCCTTTAACTTTCAAAGCTTGGATTTCTCGGCTGTGGGATTTCATTCTCTAACAAGGCTCTGATCGTGTAAGTTTTTGAGAGCAAAGAAAAAGGGGGACAATCATTTGGATGCGAGTCGCGATCAGGCTTTGTCCATCACAAACCATGCAGAGCGATGTAATTCCATAACAGCGAAGTGTACTCCGAACAGGGAGGTAGGGCCTCTCACCGCTTGTTTTTTGTTCTTCCTTTCTCTCTCTCGCTCTCCAGCAAAAGTAGAATGGTTTGGTTGCGGAGAGGCCAGCCAGCTGAATCTCGTCGCCTTTAAACCATCCAAAATCTTTTTTTGCGAGGAAGAACAGCTCGAAAAAAAGAAAGAGAAAAGAACGAACAGTGGTGGGTATGTTAGTCGTAGAGGCATTTTGTCACTTCTCTGTGGAGTAGCCATCGCATGGAAGGGACCGCACAAGAATTCCCTGTCATTAAACTGGCAGCTAGTCTTGTGTTTCAATGTTGGACGAGAGTTGGTGATAGAAAATCTTATAAAGTGTTTTGTATCTTGACTTCATCATATTAATGCTAGAGTGCTAGTATATTCTAGTATCTTTTCACATCCAACGGTTGTCTTTAATTTAGTGATTTGTTGTGGTGAAGTATATAATGTTTTTGAGTTGAGATGACTTTTCTATTTCCAAATTGCTTTCTTTCTTCAACAGGTGGATAAATACAAAAGCCGTACATGCTGACAATGTATGTACAGCGACAAGCCGTAAGCAGAGCCACCGTAGCGCAACCTCCAGCCAATGGGAAGGCACGGCCCAGATTTTGCGCTCCCGGGCGCCCCCAATCACAAATTGCCATCTCATTTCCGATAAGGATTTCGCGGGCCCTTTAGTCCACGTCACTCTCGCAGCGCGCCCAGATTCAAATATTTGAAAACTTCGAATATCAGGGCTTTCCAGTGGGGACCGTAGCATGGACCCATACGCTGCTCTCTCTGGGTCGCTGTCCACTCTTTTTTCTCTCCCTTTGTAATTGAAGCTGCTACCGCGACTGCTGGAGCCAAAGTTTTATTTTGCCCCTCGCCCACCTCTGGACAATCTTCTGCCACTGTTCTCTCGCTCGCCAATAATCAATCCCATCAAAAGCGGTGAGCAGCACTAGCAGCAGCTGAACGAGCGAGCGAGCTTTGCTTTCGAGCCCTCCTGTTCCTCGCTTAAAAGCTGTGACGCGGTTTTGATCTCTCCTCCTGTGTGTCACTCTGCCATGTCCTCGACTGCCGCGATGATTTGATGCGATATCGATGTGATCTTCTTTCCCTTTGCCTTTCTCCTTCCCTGTAAGTAGCCCGAGCTTCCCATTGGCTTGAGCAACTGGCGCGTGCTCGGCGGAGGGGATAACACCTTTCCACAATTCCTCTCGGACAGCTTCAAGGCTTCTCTGCTTCTTCTTCTCTTTCTTAGCGCCTGTCGGTGCGAGAACGCTGAGGTTGTTATAAGCAGGAGATATGGAAAAGGCGAGTAGTACCTCCAAGTCTAGTAGTAATCTGGCCGCCACGGCCATGGCAATAGCAGGAAGAGCTCTCCGTCCCTGTGATGTCTGCGGTCGTGAGCGAGCGAAATGGTTTTGCAAGGCGGACGAGGCGTACCTGTGCGAGAACTGTGATGGTTCCGTCCATGGAGCCAACGCCGTCTCTCTTCGCCACGAGCGCTTCCGTATGGGTCCAAATGGTATGCTCATGAAGAACGTCAAGCGGGTGTCTAAGTTCCAGCTCGCGGAGGATATCTCTCCCACGAACTCTGCTGCTGCTGTTACTGCTGCTTGTGCCAAGGATAGCCACTGTCCCCCGAGGAAGAAGCCCAGATCAAGTCGTTCCCATTCTCTCGGATCAAATTCCTCCAAGGAGAGTGGCAAAGTTAAAGCAGAGCCGAAGAGTCCCAAGGAGTACGCAGCCGAATTCCAGCCTTGCCAGGAGTCTTCTCACGAGGTTCCCATCTTTGATCCACTTCTCGAAGACTTTGCAGCCAGTGATGATAATTCACTGGGATGTACTGTCCCCTGTGCCACTCCACCCGACGAAGACGACGAGGAGATGTGCTTCACCGTGCCAGACGACTGTGATCTCGACGGCTTCCTCGACAGCGAAGCAGATCTGGGCGTTATGGACGGGATCATCTCGGGAACCATTGAAATGGACGGAATTGCAGACCTTGGGGACGTACTAGGCGAGTCCGAGTGCAAAACTTTCACGCACGACAGCTTCGGCATCGACTTCCCGGCGATCTTCCACAGTCCCTCCCCGAACAGCGATGGATCCGTCGCAGATGCCTTTGACTCTGCTGATGCCGTGAAAGTAAAGACCGAGGAGGCCGAGGAGCTGGACAAGATCAAGCTGGAAGTCGACGAGATGCTCGGCTTTGCGTTCAGTTCCGCCAGCACAGTCAAGGAAGAGGAGGTCGAGAAGAAGATCACGCTGAAGCTTGACTACGAGGACGTCCTCAATGCATGGTCTGATCGAGGGCCTTTCTGGACGGAGGGACCTCGGCCTCAAACAGTTCCAGACGATTCTCTCTTTGATCCCGCGGTAAGTCTCTTGATCCTGCAGTTCCGTATCAGTTTGGTAACAAATATTGTCTACAGAGTACCTTGGACTATGGACTGGTTCCCGATTTTTGCATGGAAAGTACGGAAGTTGAGGCGGTTGGACAGGTACCGGTTGTAAACTTCGGGGAGGATAGACTTACTCCACAAGGCGGAAGAGAAGCTCGTGTCATGAGATACAGAGAAAAACGGAGAACTCGACTGTTTTCCAAGAAGATCCGCTACGAGGTCCGGAAACTCAATGCTGAAAGAAGGCCACGGCTAAAGGTTAGTATCGACAGTGAAAAAAATAAGAAAGAAAAACAGTACCTTTTATAACTGATCGTGTTTTCTTGTTCAGGGTCGCTTTGTAAAAAGAACCAACAGCACGCCCCACGCCTGAAGCCTTCGAATTCCTCTTTTAACATAGCTGAGATCATGTATACTAGCGGCACTGCCCTGTTACAAATATGTAACTCAAATGTGTCCCCAATGAGAGCATGATGTACCTATTCATCGAGAGTAACGGAAAAAAGGAACGAGAAACTTAGAAGCCAAACCTTGCAGTGTACATTCTATATACTATAAAAAGTACCATACTGTACCTCCTAGAACATAATCTCTACTCACTCTTGCCGTTGGCGATGTTCCTGACAGACAACAAATGAGTTTCAAAGTCTTAACAGAACTTCAACACCTGAACTGCACTAAACAAAAGAAAGTAAGATAAAGATTGAAAACACTTGACCTGGCTCCCTAAACAGAATAAGCCAGGGTAACAGCGCTGTACATGCTAGATAGGTATCAGCTTGCGCCATCTTAAGAAGAGGATGACCGAAGCAAAGAAGAAAACTCCAACGAGCCCGGAGACAGTGATGATCCACTTGAAAGCCCAAGGGCGATCCGTCAGGGGAAGTGGAATGTTCATACCAAAAATGCCAGCAATGATGCTATAGAACGCCATCACAAACGTTGCCGTGGTCAGAATGAGCTCGAACTGAATAAGCTGATTCCGAACATGATCCTGTCACCCAAGACTTTAGTAACACATGTGGAGAAAGACGAGCTTACCAAATTAATATTGATCAAGTCTTCCGTGTCCTCGATATATTCTTCCAGCTGCAAGGTCATAGCTTGGGTCAATCATGTAGTTCTAGTACGAAATGTGAGACTTACAGAGGTCAGCTTGTTGAGAATCCCGTCGACCACCACAAAATAGGCTTCCAAAAGCATCTCCACTTCATCCACTCCCTCTGCGTTACTTTCGGAGTTCATTCTGTCCAGCTTGTGCTTCCCAATGCTCTGGAGCTTTTCTAAAGTCCGTGCAGCTTGTGGAGAACCAACAGGTGAGACAGGCGCGGACGCAGACATTACCGCAAACACGTTTCCAGCTTCTTTCTTTTTGGTAAGATAGAGTTCCGCCATGTCCTCGTCGTCATCCATGAGCTGCTCGATCTCATCACGAACCTTCAAAAAATTCAAGTTAGAACACCCAGAAAATAGAGCAAGGTAGCACTTACCCGTTCCACTCGACGTTTCAAGCCAACTAGCCGACTTTTGAGTCGTCTAACGCGCTCCAGGTTCAAGGTGCTGATCCTCGACGCAAGCTTCTCCAGCAGAGGATATGCTTCATCTTCCAGCTCTGCAGTCTGATACCGAAAAGTTTAGAAAACGCTCGAGGTAGTTAAAAAAATTTAAAAAATTTAAAAATTTAAAAAATAAAACAGGAAAAAAACTCGTTACCTGTGCATCCAAGACCACGCAAGCCGTTTCTAAAGCAACCTCGAGTGCCTTCAGCTCAAACGGCAGCGCGTTCACGGACAAACCATCCAAAAGTTCCTCGTGATGGTTTGCTTGGGGAGAGGAGCTGTTGGGCTCTTTAAAATCGTAGCTCGACACATCAATCTTCTTACTTCCCGGAGATCGCCACTCGAAAGTCCCAGCATTGATGTGCTTGTTTGGAGCTATGCGTCTTCTTAGCTCACTCACGAACTGCAACACGTAGCTATCCAGCGAGTTGAGCACCAGTACCTCATCCGCGGTGATCACACACCGGATTTGCTCCAAGTTCACGACGATCGCCTTCTCCCTCCCCAGGATCGTGGACGGATACACGAACAGAGGGTCCAGCAGGCGAAGATCACGACCTGGGAGCTGGCAGCGGCGCATTACCGTGAACTTGTCGGCCTCAAGAACGTGAGAGTTCCCGGCTGTATCGATTCTAATCCAGGACCTCACTCCAAGAGCTCGTTTCTTGGGGTCGATGACGAGCAGCGATGGCCGCTCGCGATCCCTGCCGAGCAACGGCGCCTTCAAATCCCCCATCCCGCTCACCTCCAGAGCTTATTCCATCAACCAGTCGGCGCGCTAAGCGAGCGCGAGTCGCTGGAAAGAACCGGCATTCTCACGATCGTCGCGACGAACCTGTGCCGCTGCCGCTGCTCCGAAGAACTATCGCTGCCCTAAAGAAGAACTACAGTGTTGGAGGGATCGACGTGGCAAAGAGCATGCGCTTTCCATATTTGATTTTCTAATCTTTTTCTAATGGCTTTGCCCTAACGAATATTCTTCCACTTTGAATTTAAGTATTTGAAAACAGGCGGGAAAGGCACTAATACTCTTCGCCCTCGTCTTCGCCCTCTCCCTCAGTGGAATCGGCTCCAACTTCCTCGTAATCCTTCTCTAGCGCCGCCAGATCCTCGCGAGCCTCAGAGAACTCTCCCTCCTCCATCCCCTCGCCGACATACCAGTGAACGAACGCCCTCTTTGCGTACATGAGGTCGAATTTGTGATCCAGCCGCGAGAACACCTCCGCCACGCTCGTCGAGTTTGAGATCATGCACACCGCTCGCTGGACCTTGGCCAGATCTCCTCCGGGAACCACCGTCGGGGGCTGATAGTTGATGCCACACTTGAATCCCGTCGGGCACCAGTCCACGAACTGGATCGTCCGCTTGGTCTTGATCGTTCCCACCGCCGAGTTTACATCCTTTGGGACCACGTCGCCGCGGTACATGAGACAGCAGGCCATGTATTTTCCGTGGCGGGGATCGCACTTTGCCATCATGGAAGCGGGCTCGAAGGTTGTATTTGTGATCTCGGACACGGAGAGCTGCTCGTGGTAAGCTTTCTCGGCGGAGATGACCGGCGCGTAGGAGGAGAGCATGAAGTGGATGCGAGGATACGGGACTAAGTTGGTCTGGAACTCGGTGAGATCGACGTTGAGAGCCCCGTCGAAGCGGAGGGAAGCTGTGAGGGATGAGATCACCTGTCGAAAACTTTGTAAGTCGTCTACAATGAAGATGATCAACTGAGTATCAAGCAAACTAGCAACCAGAAGAACACCCTAGTTGGATTTTTTGCTAAGCAAGAAAAGAAAAACTCAAATCACAAAGAGGAAGCTATCGACGGCAACAAATCTTTAGACCATGATCCAAAAGAATGGAACTTCGCAAGAAAGGAAATAGCCAAGAAAGAGAAGAAAAAAACTGGAACCATGCAAAAACATCGAAAGAAACCGGCTTGAGAAAAGAGTAACGATTCTTACTTGCGAGACGAGCCTGTTCAAGTTCGTGTACGTGGGACGCTCGATGTCGAGTGATCGCCTGCAGATATCGTAGATGGCTTCGTTGTCGAGCATGACAGCAACGTCGGTGTGTTCTAGCAGAGAGTGAGTTGACAAAACGCTGTTGTATGGCTCCACCACGGCCGTGGAGACTTGCGGAGAAGGATACACTGTAAACGCAAGCTTGGACTTCTTCCCGTAATCCACCGAGAGCCTCTCGAGCAATAGGGAGCCCAGCCCCGAGCCGGTTCCACCACCAACAGCGTTGAAAACCATGAATCCTTGAAGGCCCGTGCAGTTATCAGCGAGCTTCCGTATCCGGTCGAGGCAAAGATCAACGATCTCTTTCCCAACTGCGAAAAAAAAGTCATTTAATCTCGCCAGTTTGGAATGATTTCGAGAGATTTTTCGTGATCTTACTCGTGTAGTGACCCCTGGCGAAGTTGTTTGCTGCGTCTTCCTTGCCACTGATAAGCTGCTCGGGGTGGAAAAGCTGCCTGTAAGTTCCGGTTCTAACTTCGTCCACCACAGTCGGCTCGAGGTCCAGGAAAACACTGCGAGGGACGTGCTTTCCAGCTCCGGTTTCGCTGAAAAAGGTGTTGAAGGCATCGTCTCCACCTCCGACAGTTTTATCACTCGGCATTTGTCCATCGGGCTGCAAAAATCCAGAAAAGAGACAAGTTAGTCTCACCTAAAGCTAGATCGAAAGAGAAACCGAAAGGAAGCAAAGAAGTTCTCGAGAAAGAGGATGAAAATAGAACCTGGATGCCATGCTCTAGGCAAAAAAGTTCCCAGCAAGCGTTTCCAATCTGGATTCCAGCTTGCCCAATGTGGATGGAAATGCACTCTCTCATGGTGATGTTTTCTCTGGCAGCTCACGATTTAAGCTGTAAAGCTCCACACGAATGGAGTCTACACGAGAGAAGAAGAAGAAAGCTATGGCTTGAAACTAGATTAAAAGCGCGCGCTTTTTATGCTGCGTCCGGGTGTAACCGCCCATTTCAGCCGACAACCGTGAACTGTCAGCCGGCATAGCCAACGTGGAACCCTAACCCCTTCTTTTCCCGCCCAAATGACATCAATTTTGAATTTGAAATTAAGAAACCGCAAAATTTTCTCTTCGTCCTCGCTTTCACATTGCGAGAAAGCTCGCATAGAAAACTAGAGGAACAAACATATTGTCCATTTGGGACGTGTAAGCCTCTAGCAATCCAGCAAGCACCGCAGGAATCGCTAACTGGTAAGTCTAAAAGAAAGAAAAATAAAACAATTAAAGGAAAGAAGTAGAAAAACAAATTGTGCAATTACCTGAAAGCATATAGGAGATACTAGTCTTTGAATGAGAGCGCACGAGAAACCCAAGGACATGATTCCAGCCATGGTGCCTTCCACTGTTTTCTCTGAAGGACACCAAGCTTATAAACCGTCACAAGATAGAAAATTGCTACTCACTGCTGGTACTGCTGATTCTCCATGATCCATAGTTGTATCCAACGTATGATGCCTGGTAGAAAGAAGAAGCGACTCGTAAAAACGTTTATAAATCTCATTTCCATACCATTGTGTCGCCAATTCCGATGCTCAAAATTCCTGCGAGAGTTGCTAACGGTCGGAGTCTCCAGCCGTGATGAAACCAGACTGGTACTGCGCATCCAAGAAGCAAAGAAAAATGGCTATCAAGACGAGACAAGGAAGTTAGTTTTGGTCTCAAGGAATCATCTGTCCATACCTGACAATAAGCTTATCTGAGTCTCGATGATCAGCAAAAACAGCCATGAATTCTGTGATCCTTGGTCCGATGTGTGGAATTTGCCATATCTAGGGATGAGGGAGCGTTAACAGACAAGAAAACTGTTTTAACCTTACCCTCAGCATTTCCACGAGGCCGAAGATAACAAGAGCCACAGTGAAAGCCAGATGTAAAAACTCTTTCTGACATATAGAAAGAGCAAGAAGATGAGCATGAATACACATACATTTTTACGTACCTCGATCAAAACCGCTGGGACGAACATCATCACTGCTAAAATATGATAGCCCTTGCGGACGAGTATTTGTGGAGCACCATTGTGTTTAGCAATGCTGTAGAGATATGGAAGTAAGCAGAGTGCTGCGAGCCAGTACAAGCAGAGTCCAAAACGTAGCAGTGGCTTTTCCAGCATAAAGTTGACCACCCTATCAAAAGAGTTAATTCGAACAAGAAAAAGAAGAAAAAGCGGTGTACCATAGAACTGGGTGTCGATGAACTCCTGCCACTAAGCGAAACCACGCAGGAGCTATTGTCAGCATTATGGAAAGAAAAGCTGCGGCGAAAGAGGTAGCTTTGGAGTCCCTTGTCAGCCACAGGAAACATTTGTAAGCTGGTGGCATGAGGCTCAGTCCGAAAACTCCAACCTATATGGATGAATTGTATTCCTCTGAGTTATCAAACAAATGAACAAACCTGGAGCATACAGTCGAGAGGATCAATTGGATTGCCGAGAATTGTGAGCAACAGATTTCCTCCATATAGTGCTAATCCACTGGCCACAAGTATCAATTCCCCTGGATAGAGTTGAGATATAAGAATCGAGCTATAAAAACGTAGAGACTACCTGGCGTTCCACATCCCGGGAACTTTTGAAGTATAGCTCGCAAGAAACTTGCCGATCCACAAGACTGGATTGCCAAGACAGCAATTGGAATCAAATCCATAAATCCTGCCAGAGTCAAAAAAAGAATCACGACGTCACGGTCGTGTGCTTACTTACCAGTTGCATTTGCAAAACCAATGCTCAAAGCAAACAACGCGATTCCTCCTTTGAAATAATCAAATAGGGACGACTGCCCGAGAAGTGTGACCGACGAAGTGTCGCTGGAGAAGAAATTTAGAAGCCTTAGACTGCATAGCGTAGCGCTCCAGAACGAGAATTTGCTTGTCGAGGCTGGATCCACAGAAGAATTAAACCGAGACGCGAGTACCAGCGGCCAAGTAATCGAGCCCAGAAAAATCCCTGTCGAAGCACCTGGTCTTCACAGAGCAGGATTTTCACAATGGATCGGGCTAAAATTCCATACCTGAAGCTGGAGTAGGGATTTTTCCCTTTCTGACGCGATTCCACAAACCAGGCCCATGCCGCGAGCGCGACGATCGCAGAGAATTCGAGGATGTGATCGATCGAGAGAGACAGCGCCACACAGAGCGTGATCGCCGCGACAACGAGCTCCTCCATCGAGGATAAACCCTAGGCAGATTCCTCAAAATGAAAGAGCATATGCTTTTCCTTAGCGCCAAAATATGAAAAAGAACAAAACCCTATTTGGCCAGGGCTAGGGTTGGGCGCCAGGGGAGCTAGATCGTTGGAAGCGATGGCTTATCGCAATGGAATCAGAGAGAGGAAGAGGATCGTAGGGAGGATCATTCATGCCTTGCGGCGAAGAGAGGAGATTTTGATCGATTGCGGCTTGTGAGTAGATCCATTTCTAGAATTCTAGCGAAGAGGATTGATCCAGATTGCGGGCAATTGGAATCCGGCACGATGAGTGAGATGTTCCAGACCTACGAGCGGCAGTACCAGGAGCTTGTCTCCGGTCTAAAGCAAGGCTGCGTCGCCGCTGGAGCTCTCAATGAGGGTAATCAATCCCTTCCTTCGATCGATTGATCTAAGCGGTAAATTCCAGCAGATCAGAGGAGACCCAAAGTTCTTGAATTGAAAACGGCGCTCGACGAAGGGGATTCCTTGGTAACGGAAGTTTTCTCGCCAAGAAAGCTAGATTCTCATCGATGGATTTTCAGATCAGGAGGATGGATCTCGAGGCGCGGGGGCTCCAGCCGCCGCAGAAGACGGCATTCCTGGGAAAGCTCAAGAACTACAAGGCGGAGCTCACAAATCTCAAGCGCGAAGTTAAGATGATGTCCATGGGCGCTGGAGCGCGAGAGCAGCTCCTGGAAAGCGGCCAATTCACGGTAAATCCTTCCTTCTTCTTCTCAACCCTTCGTCTTGGGCGACGCTCTTCGACTAAGTCCCAGCAGATTTGCTCCAGACCTCGCAAGAACAACAGGTCCAACTAGCCGCCGCCACCGATAGGATGTATCAAACCGGCGATCGGATACGAGAAGGCAAGAAGGTGCTGGTGGAGACCGAAGAACTCGGCGTCTCGATCCTCCAGGACCTCCACCGGCAGCGGGAAGTTCTCCAGCACTCGAAGAACACCGTAAGTTTTGCGCTTGATCACCGCTTAGATCGTCTGTTCTTGGATGATCCAGTTGCATGGAGTGGACGACAACATCGCCCGGGGCAAAGTCATCATCCACAACATCAGCCGGAGGATCACCAGGAACAAGTACATCATGGCAGGCCTGATCATCTTCCTCTTGCTTGCCATCCTCGTCATTGCCACGGGCAAGAGGCCCCACAGCTAACTTGGTTTTCCATCCGAGCAGCAATCCAAAATCCCATCGTCGCACTGAAAGAAACTCCACAGCCATCGTCGAGCACCGCCACCACCAAAAGCGTTCTTCGTCGGCTTGATCTGATCTACTTCCAACTCTAAAACATCGCGTCCTCCTGTTCTTCGTCGGCTTGATCTGATCTACTTGCAACTCTAGAACATCGCGTCCCTGTTCTTCGTCGGCTCAATCTGGTCTACTTGCAACTCTAGAACATCGCGTCCTGGAAGCTGATCCTCTTCTTGGCCGAGGAGCTCCCGACCCTCTGGAGAGAAACTTCCAGCTGCAAACGCCCCTCGCTTGGGAACATATGTGCCGGAACCACCAGGAAATCCATGGGCTGCCTGCTCTGCGAGAAAGTCTGTGCCACGCTCTCGAACAGCAGCCTCTTCTTCCCATTCTTGAGCTCCACCTGGTAGAGATACTCGTCCGGTGCCGCGGCTCCAAAGTAAGTCACGTAGAGCGAGCTCCCGAGAGAATTCTTGTCCTGGTGGAGTAAGAAGCACAGCCCTTCAACCTTAAGCAGGAAGAACGCCGCCTCTGGCCCCGCGAGGAAGAGCGTGCACCGAGCTTCCCACGAGAAATCGTAGCGCGCCACCTGATGCGCCTCGACGATGTGCGCCAGGAGATCTCTGGTTGGAGCCGAGACGTTGCAGGGCTTGATCGGGCAGGCGCATGGCCGGAATTCGCAGCTCCTCTCGTGGATCGCCTTGTGGACGAACTTGGGCATGGCGCCGCAGCCGTGGTCCGCGAACTTGCAGCTCACGCTCAGCGTCTCGATGAGCTTCTCGATGGCCAGGCAGCGGATCGATCCCAGCGGCTTGGAGCACGTCGGGCACACGTCGCTGATCTTGGAGCGGCAGCTCTGGCAGGCGATGTGGCCGTTCGAGCACTGCGAGAGGGATATTTCACCGAGAATCAATGCCAAGAACATGGAAATCGATCGAATATCGGTACCTGGAAGATCGGCGGGGTCAGGGATTCCATACACACGCTGCAATCGAGCGTATCCACATCCAGCGTCGCAAGAACAGCGCCGTCCGCCATCGCCGTGCTCGCAGAGGCAGCCGGCGCCACAGGCGCCGAGGGAATGGACATCATCGGCATCGCCATTGCCATAGCAGATGTCTCCCCGTCGGGCGTCGAGATACGCAAGCGCTTCGAGGCAATTGTCTGTGTGGAAAATCGCACCATTTCTAGGTCCAAAAGAAAGGGACTAAAAATGAAGAACCCTAAATGCCAAGAATATACTTTTGCGAAGAACCCTAGAGCTTTTGGGGAAGCCCTAGCCGCCGCATCAAAGAGCTAGCGCCAGCGCCTTGCATCATGACTGTCAAGCGGCGGAATGGCGGCCGCAACAAGCACGGCCGCGGCCATGTCGATCCAATCCGGTGCTCCAATTGTGGGCGCTGCGTCCCCAAGGTATGACATCTAGAGGATTTTCCATCTCTCTTTGCCGGCGGAGCTGAGATTTCGCCTCCAGGACAAGGCCGTGAAGCGCTTCCTTGTCAGGAACATCGTGGAGCAGGCAGCGGTGCGCGATGTGCAAGACGCTTGCGTCTACGAATGTAAGCAGCTCAATTTTTTTCTCTGGAGGCTTGTTTCATGACCAATGTCTTGGTTCTTGCAGCTTACACGCTCCCCAAGCTCTACGGGAAAATGCAGTACTGCGTCTCCTGCGCGATCCACTCTCACGTCGTGCGCGTCCGATCGAGAGAGAAGAGAAGGGACCGAAATCCGCCAGTGCGACCCTTCCAGAGGCGCAAGGTTTGAAAGCTATAGATTTGGGAATTTCTTACGAGCGTTCTCTCGTGGTGTTTGTAGGAGGACTTTGTTCCTCGACCTGGTGGCCCTGGTGCTGCTGGAGGTCCTGGCGGTCCTGGAGCTCCGCGTCCACCACCGCCCCGATAAATCGGTCAGCACGAAACTTTGCTACTCTTCCTTTCCGGCTAACGAAGAGAGAGTTAATCTTTTGTTTGGAATGGCTTTCTTAATCTCATATGGAAGTTTTTGTTGCTTGTGATCAATCTCTTGATTCTTCCAGCTTTGATGTGATCTGGGAAAATCTCATACCCTCTGGGTCTGAAATCTTCGCTCGCAAGTTTGGTGGCTTGAGCAAAACCTTGTCACTCCTAGCCTTATGCTAAATGCCGGGTCCGACGAATCCATCGCTACAGTGCCGCCGAATCTAAAGTCGTGTAGACACACTCCACATCTGTGCCTGTTCCAACGCAGTCCATCTCCTCAAAACTGGCCGGGACCTTCATCCATTTGGAGACTGACGGATTTGTTGTCGACGAATTCAGCCTCGCTCTCGACTTTTTTGCAAAAACTCGTGCCTGGATCGAATGGTTCTTTGATAATGGCAAAGAAAGATACAACGCATTCAAATGCTCAAACCCAGTAGTAATCAAATGGCTGCTTTCAGTGATAAAAACTTTAGAGCTTGAGAAACCTTTGTTTAAACAAGCTGGACACCATATCTTTTTTGATCTTCCTCGACCAAGAGCTGCTTCCACCCCCTATTACTCCATTCCATGAGTTTATACCACTTTGTTGGCTTGAGAAACGCGATGTAAACCTTGTCATTCACAGCCTTCATGCTAAAGTTCACTACTGGAACATATGTCGGATCTCCCACCCATGCTGTAGGTGGATCCTCCTGTGGATCATCGATTCTCAAGCACGCAAGCTCCTTGAGACTACTCTCCACCACTTCCAAAAGCCGGAAGAGCCCGAGCGTGGGATCATAGCGAGCAACTAAGAACCCATCCTGCCACTTCTCAAGCCTCATCTCTGACATTGGTCTAGACTCCCCAGTAACAGCAGCGCCAAGCTCCACAATGGTCTTGTACTCATCTTCTAGCTCATCGTACTTGACCACCCGGTTAGCTCTCAACCCGTCCGTACCATTCACCCCCGTGAGAAACTGGGCCTCCCACCCATTGATGCTCGAGTCGAAGACCGACAAGAAGTGGAGTTCGATTCCAAACAACGCAGCCGACATCATGGGCACAACAAGCTTGAATCGTCTCGGGTCACCCTTGTCAATCGCTATGGCCATTCCACCATTGGGAGAATGTTGTAAGGATTCAAAGCTAGGCAAAGCCTTCACCCGTCTGCTGAAGAGATCGCACACAAGCACCGTCCATATCCCCGATAACCCCCTTGTACTCCCAAACAGGAAGTAAGCGAGGTTGCTCTCGCGATCGTAGGCCATTTCGTTTTGATACTGAAGAGAACTAAAACCCTCCTTGACAGTCTGCGTGGATGCAAATTCCATCACAAAGTCCAATGGCATTGCCTTCAGTAACACTTCCCCATCACGACTTCTTGGGAGAACAAAGAAGAGCTGGATCAATTCTTTGCCCTCGGGCTCTTCCAACTCGGACTCTGAACTTCCCTCCAAGGAACTTCCTTTACACCTTTGGACTTGCCAAAACCCTGAGCATAGTATGCTATGCACACATGCTGCCCATTCCTTGGAAACTAACCTCACATTGCCCAAATCTTCCATGGGAACCATCTCTAGAATTTCCCGAAGGAGTTGCCTAAACACCGCCTTCATCGCCCCAAAAGCCCTAGAATATTTTAGTTCTAGGCTTAGGGTTCCTTGGCGGCTAGGGCTTCTAGGTGGCGCTCCAAATCTATATTATTAATAGGAGCTACTTTTAAGGCTTTAATCGAGAATTTTGCTATTGTTTAATTTTCGACCCAGGGGGCCTTGCATTTACAAGATAAATACCAGCGAGTGTGATCGTAGCTCCCAAAATTTGAGCGCCATTGAGGCTTTCATCCAAAACAAGATATCTACGAACAAGAAGCTTTTAAATCATGGAAGAAATGCTCCACACTTACCCAAAAAAAGCCGCAAACATTGGCGTGAGAAATGTCAAAGACTTCAGCTTCGTGAGGCTCCCTGCAGAACTCACAAACTCAAAACTTTCAATCGCGCTAGAGTCGAAGAAAATCCTTCCTTTTCTCTCACCTTTGGTGGCGTTGTAGAAGAACACACCATAGCTTATAGCACTCCCAAAGATCGAGGTGTAAGCTAGAGAAGCCCAGTCACTAACCATGAGATCTTCCAAGTGACCATTCAAGGCGGGCTCGCTGTTAGACGCTGCGAGGAGTAACAATGGCAAGCCACCAATTATCATATGCTGCAAGAAAAAACAAAACAGAGTTTTTCGAGCTTGAAAGTTTCATGGTTTGCGTACGCAGCCAGTTGCCATGATCGGATCCGAGAACTTGCACACCCAGCGAACCAAGAGCGTGCCAAGAGCCATGCTTTGAGCAGCAAGGAGGATGTACCGCTCCATTGCTTTCCTCCGGTGATGACATAGAATTCTCCTCCAGTTTTTGGAGCAGTGGACTCCCAAGGATTCAGCTGGATGCTGCTGGAGGTGATCAAAAGCTTCATAGTTCTTACATCGTCTCACTGGAATTTGCCACAGGTGAAGCCCCGCTATGCCTAGAAGAAGTCCCAAAACTCCTAGAGGCCTGATCGTCGCGTTGAAGAGGATCGACGCGAGAATGGCTACTGTAAAAGGCTGCGAATCCATGATAATCTGCATGAATTTTCTAGGAAGTAGAAATCCAGCTTTTGATCTTATGATCTCAAAAACCTACACTTCCAAGTCCTTTTCCCAAGTAGAATGAAACAACCTGTCAAAACTAATTCTAGGAGTTATCATAAGACTATAGTTTTACATGGCGTGCATTATAACATGAGGCATCGAAATGCAATGAGTTCTCTCTTTTTTCTTCCTATGGACGCAAGAGATCGCATAGAGGGCCAGGTCTCGAAAAGAAAACTACTTTTTTTTTTTAACCTTTGTTTAAACAAGCTGGACAGCATATCTTCCTTTAGCTTCCTCGACCAAGAGCTGCTTCCACTCCCCATTACTCCATTCCATGAGTTTATACCACTCTGTTGTGAGCAATGCGATATAAACCTTGTCATTCATAGTCTTCATGCTAAATTCCAGATCTGTCGACGGTGGATCCTCATGTGGATCATCGATTCTCAAGCACGCAAGCTCCTTGAAACTACTCTCCACCACTTCCAAAAGCCGGAGGAGCCCGCGCGTGGGATCATAGCGAGCAACTAAGAACCCATCCTGCCACTTCTCAAGCCTCATCTCTGACGGTGGTCTAGACTCCCCAGTAACAGCAGCGCCAAGCTCCACAATGATCTTGTACTTCTCACCTTCTAGCCCATCGTACTTGACCACTCGCTTACGTCTCAACCCGTACCATTCACCCCCGTGAGAAACTGGGCTGTTAACGAAATCCTGTGCCATGCGATCGACTTGCTCCCACCCATTGATGCTCGAGTCGAAGACCGACAAGAAGTGGGATTCGAATCCATGCAACACAGGCGACATCATGGGCACAACAAGCTTGTATCGTCTCGCGTCACTCTTGTCAATCACTATGGCCATTCCACCATTGGGATCATGTCCCAAGGATTGAAAGCTAGGCAAAGCCTTCACCTGTCTGTTGAAGAGATCACACACAAGCACCGTCCATAGCGTCCTGAATCTGTGCGTACTCACAAACAGGAAGTAAGCGAGGTTGCTCTTGTGATCGTAGGCCATATTGCCTTCATAAGCAAGAGGATCAAATCCCTCCTCAACACTCTGCGTGGACGCAAATTCCATCACAAAGTCCAGCGCCGCCGCCTTCAGTAACACTTCCCGATCATGACTTCTTGTGAGAACATAGAAGAGCTGCTTCAACTCCTTGAGCCGGGGCTTCTCCAAGGAACTTCCCTCACTGAAAATTATACACCTTTCGACTTGCCAAAAGCCTGAGCGTAGAATGCTATGCACACACCCATTCCTTTGAAACTAACTTTACATTGCCCCAATCCTCCATAGGAACCATCTCTAAGGAGTTGTCTAAACACCACCTTCATCGCCCCAAAAGCCCTCATATTTTAAGGATAATTTAGGGCTGAAACCACATATATACTCTGTAGGAGCTCCTTTAAGGTTTTAATCAAGAATTTTGCTATTTTAAGGGGGCCTTGCATTTACAAGATAAATACCAGCGAGTGTGATCGTAGCTCCCAAAATTTGAGCGCCATTGAGGCTTTCATCCAAAACAAGATATCTACAAACAAGAAGCTTTTAAATCATGGAAAAAATGCTCCACGCTTACCCAAAAAAAGCCGCAAACATTGGTGTGAG